GAAACCTTCATATTTAACATGTTTCGTTGGAATTCGAGTGATTAAATTAAAGTCATCTTTTTCTACCTACGAATAATATATTTATAATATTACATATGTTGTAACTTATGTTTGTTTATATGAAAGCCAGTGGCAATTATAAAAAGAATTAATAGTCACTTACAGATTTAAGCAAAATTATATGTAAATGGAAAGTAAATGAGAAAAGTGTAAGCGAAGAAGGAATAAAGAAAAGTTTCTTTCATTCTTCCTATCCCACATCGATTGTGGGAAGGAAAAAAGAGGAACACCACTTCCTATAAAACGGAAGGCTTGCAAAGCAAGCAGGAGGAAAAGACCTTGATAATTTGACTAGGTGTGTCTCCCTTTTGTGGGCTGCCGAGTGGCCTTTTATAAGTTGGACGCATTTAGCGGGATCAAACCGTATTTTGTAATTTGTGTAAAAGGTTCAAACCGTTATTTTGGATAAAAAAAATTAGAAGTATTTATAAACTGGGTACCCGGTTTATAACTGCTTCCAACCGGTTCCGGGACCGGTTCTTAAATCAAAAGAACTGGTGTAGGCGGTTCCGGTTCCAATATTTTTGGAACCGATGGTTCTGGTTCCGGTTCCTATCAATTTGGCCGGGTACCCGCTTTTGCTCATCCCTAGAATAAAGTGGGTTTAGAATCGGAAAAACAGGAATTTTTTGTAATTACTTACTACTTAGTGGGTTGAACTTTGAAAATTTTCATATTGATATCCCAATTTTGGGGGACTGTAATTCATTGAATATGAAACGAAGAATGACAAAATTATAGTTTAAAATCATGTACAAACTCTAAACTACACTCTTGAAAAAACAGCATGTCAATCCGACTTTAAATGAATGAGATATTCATGTGTTAACATTTTCACAGAATACAAAGTACAAAAACAAATAGCTGAAAAGTTGAAAATTTTCAGTTTTGATATCCCGACTTTGGGGACTGTAAATCATTGAATATTAAACCAAAAATGACGAAATTATAGTCTAAACTCATGTAGAAACTCTAAACTACAAGTTGAAAAAATCATATGTTAATCCGACTTCAAACGAATTAGATATGCATGTTTTAAAACTTTCACAGAATACAAAAAAACTGAAAAACTAAAAACTTTCAGCTTTGATATCTCGACTTTGGGGGACTGTAAGTCAATGAATATAAAACTAAAATTGGAAAATTTATAGTCTAAAATCATGTACAAACTCTAAAAAAGACATTGGAAAAAACCGCATGTCAATCGGAGTTAAAACGAATGAGATATGCATCTTTTAAACGTTTCAGAAAAACCGGTTCCGGCCCTAAAAGTGGTTCCGGTTCCTAACACCGGTTCCGGTTTTTAGACCCGGTTTACCCGGACCCGATGGACCCAAACCCGGATTACCCGGAACCCAGATAAAGCCAATTTTTAAACCCGGAACCGAAACCGGTTCTATATATTCCGGTTCTAACGGTTTCGGTTCCGATCCGATTCCGGTTCCGGTCTGATTTTCCGGTTCTAAATCTCATCCCTACTATGGAGTACACCATACTCAAAAAAATCCATGCTTGGGACAAAAAGTTCATATATAACCTTTTTAGGAGACCTAGAAAGAAAAGCGCCAATGTATAAACTTTATACCTTTTGAAGATGCACAAGGTGAAGTAGAAGCTGGATCCAAAGACTGGAATGCACCACCTTCCCCTCCAAGAACTTCCATCTCTACCAAGAATGCTCAAGAATCACAAACAAGCTCCAAAATCTCACTCACAAGGCTAGGGTTTGATCTCTAGGGTTTAGAGGGAATGGAGGCTGGCTAATAAATGTCCAAGGGTGGTATAATGTGTTTAAATAGGGGTCACACCCAAAGATTAGGGTTTAGGAACACCACCGAGTACGCCCGACGTACTCACATGTACGCCCAACGTACTCCCTCCGCCGCATTGACCCTCCTTGCTGACTTACGTCCGATGTACTAGGCTCGTACGCCCAACGTAAGTGACCACAATGCAACCATTTAACAAGCCAATTGTTAAAATAGAAATACCTGATAACGGATGTTACACCAACATTTAATTCTTTTTGTCATAGAGAAAATATGTATCGTTATTTATTTTATTTATATTTTAATTATTATTTAATTTATTTTATATTCAATAATTTAATTTATTAAGTTAGTTTATATTATAATGTCTAAATAATAATAAAAAGTATTTAAATCTTAATAAATATTTTAAAACGATTACATTTTATTTATTATAATACAACCCTTGCAGCGATATTAAAATAAAATACAATATGTAATAAAATTTATATTTTTGTAATCATACTTTTTATTTAATGTATTATTCGTAATTTTTAATTTCTAACTTGTAATCTTTAATCAGTAATTTGTAATTTGTAACTTTTATTTTTATTTAATGTAGTATTCTAGTTTTACATATTAATATTATTTATAAAAATATATAATAAAATGCTGATGTGATAATCCATTAAAATTTAATAGTTTAATGGAGTGTAGAGTTTAATAGATAAAACGATATAGTCAGTGGAATGTTGATGTGACAATCCATTAAACTCTTAAGAGTTCAATGCATTGTAGATGATTTTATTGGAGGTGGTCTTGTTGCTTGAAGACGATGAAGAATGTCAAAAAAAATCTCACAATGATGAATATGAAAGTTTGCAGGGGAGGTCTTTGAGCACTATCGCCCTCTCTTTTCTCCTTTTCAACCCAAAAGACCACCCCTATCTAATCATTCCTCATCCTTGTTCCTTTCATATGGAGTGGGTTCGAAATCCCCCTAATGAAAAAAGACAACGATGGCGAAGATCGTAGGCGACATACACAAACAAACTCCAGAGAACCCCTTCGTCGGAGATTTTGCTTACAACCTTTTTTAAATCTATTTTTGGCATTTTCTCTCGTTGTGCTTGTTGGATATTTCATGGGAGGTGATTACCATAAATGTATTAGGGATTTGTTATGGTGGTGTTGGTCAGAAATTTTCACCGAACATCCTTTATTGAGCATAATATGTTCGGTGATATGCAAGAACACCAAAAGCTCAAGTGATTTGCATTACTTGCAGGTGCATGGGGAGTTGAAGACGACGAAGAGATTTACAAAACAACAAAAAAAATTCAGTGTTAATGTTTTCAAAAGGTTCTTTGTCAAAGTTTCAAACTGATTTACGATAGTTTTCAATTTCCAAATAAACCAAACAAAGGAAGAATAGTCACACTAACAAGATAATTTTTTTTTCATAATTAAAATTAGTTCTACTATGTTTTGATAAATATATTGAAAAGTACAAAATAATGGTGATTTTGGTCTACGAAATCCAAGATTTGCACCTCCCTGTGCGCATGTAGGACTTGAAGTAAACCACAAACATAAGCTTGTAAGTTTTTCATGTATTCAAGCTTATAAACTTAGTTAGTTTTGTCATTCTACCAATGTGAGACTCATTCCCACATTCATCTATTTTGTTAACTTTATTCTCAAATCCACAGTCTTTGAGTATCGATATCTCATTCATATACTCCATTTTTGTCATATAATATATATCATTTCGAAGTTCTTATGGAAGAGAACACAAATCCTCAAAGTTAATTATATATACAAGATATGTATATATATTTATATATGTCCAAAATTAGTAAAAATATAAATATTTATACTAAATTTTCCCAACATATTTAACAAGTTTTAATTTATTTATAAAAAAATACATATACAAATCAACCTGTTTATTTTAAACCGTTATAGCATTATTAAAATTTCGATTTAAATTTTGAAGTCATTTATAAACAATTTATTATAAACAATTACTAATTCATCTTAACAATCACCATCTCTAATTGACCGAGTTATGTCAAAAGTATCAAAAAAAAAATAGTTGGATTTGGGTGAGAAAACATACATAAAATCATCAAACTCCACCAACCATAACTTTGTATTTTACCCTAGCAAAGCAAATTTGATTTAAGAATACGTCAAATCACACCATTCCAATGGTTCCAAAACAACGAAAAATCCTTCATTTTACCTCAACAATACTCCTCAACTTTACCTTACTCATCTTAGTTTCATCAAATCCCGATACTACTTCACACCATACTGAATTCATTTACAAGAAATGTCGAAACCAAACTCACCTTCCCCAAAAATTAGCGTCATCCCTAATCCAAGAACTTGTTGAAAAATCGTCAAACTCCAAGTTTTACCAAACAACCACCGGTGACGACACATTTGCAATCTTCGGTGCTTTCGAATGTCGACACGACCTCACAAACACTGATTGCCATGATTGCGTAGTGAACACTCTCCCAAGATTATCATGTGGGTCAGATTTTCTCACTCGGGTTCAACTCAAAGGTTGCTATATAAGCTTAGAGCCCGAGCCAAACATTCCTGATCCTGAAAGTGGCAGGATTGATAATAGGGTTTTGATCGGTTTTCAAAAAGATGACTTGCAACACAAGAAATGCGGCGAGAGGAGAGTAGGGTTAGAGGGCTTGGAGGAAGTTAGGGACGCAGCTTTTGAGGCGATTGCGAGGTGTATAATAAGTAGTGGAGATAGGCACTGTGAAATGAGCCATGAGTGGATGCATGTGGTGGCCCAGTGTGACATGAGTTTGGAAGGGTGTCAGTGTGGGAAATGTATTAGTAATGCGTTTCAAGTAGCTCAAGATGAATGTTGGGGATCTGATTCCGGGGAGGTTTATCTCACGAATTGCTTTATTAGTTTTAGCGATGATCAACCTACCACCAATGGCGGAGGGAATTATTCTCAAGGTATCGTGGTTACATATGTTTAAGTTTTTTTAAATTCTCAATTAGCCACATAATCAAAGATTAGTAACATCTTTTGAGTGTTGCATGGCTTTTTTTTGTAGTATGATCAATGATGTATATATAAAATTTTTAAATATTGTTCATTTTTTGTACAGGAAGCAGTATAGGAGGTAGTTCAGCGAAGGTGGTTGCAATGGTGGTGGGTATAGGTGTCGCTTTAGCTCTATTATTTGCCCTTTGCTATTGCATTAGATCTTCGAAAAGAAAACATGGCGACGGTTAGTTTATTCTAATGTGTTTGTCACTACTATTTTTTTATGAAAAATTAGATGAAACTTAGTTTTAAAAAAATAACTGCAATTTAGTTTGAAACATCAACAACATTAATTCATAAAGTTTAATGATCATGAATGAATCTGTAAATATATACGTTGTATTCCTGCCAAAGTTTTCTTGACGGATTGTAATTAAATAACCTATTTGTAACTTTTGGTGCAGATTGGTGAGAAGATAGATACCGGATATTCATTAAAAAAATTGCATGATTGTATATTATTTAGTGGATTTGAACGTAATTATTTTGTATGATTTTGTATAAGATGTTATAAAACACCAATTATATAATTGTTTCCAAGATTTATATATTAGTTAATCGATAAATAGTCATAATACGCAAAAGTAGAATAAAATCATAACGAAAAAAACTACATTTTGACGTTTCAAAACCTAATAAAATCATCCTAAACATACAAATATCGATCGGAAATATTATTATTGGAAGAAAAGCTTAATTAATTAGTCATTTTTATCAACATAACCCTTTTGCATTTTTGCACAAAACTCAAACAAGCTTCCATCAAAGCACCTTCTTACGGATTCTTTCGATAAAAATCCTTCTGTATCCTTGGCAAGCATATAAAGTACTCCCCATTCCAACTTGCTTGCAATCCTATATAAAAAGTGTCATAATTCAAAAGGCTACGAGTGTCGCTAAAAAGAAGAAAATCCGTCGCTAATTAATGAGGTTTTAGGGAGATAGATACAATACCAGCCAAAGAAATCGAAGGCATTGCGATTTGCATCTGTCATTTGCCAGAGTTCTTTGAAGGAGAGCTTGTCTGCCTTTGTTTGAGCATATTTGCTGAAAATGTTCTCGAAGTTTGCTGGAACATATCTACCAGAATATGGTTTGTAATTAATATCAGTTTGATTTGATGAAGAAAAGAAAAGGAAAACGAGATTTGTTAATTGTAATGCACCTTCCTTCGGTGTCATAAGTTGCAGAATCACTTCCATGCTTGCACTTGTGTATGTTTTCTATGTAAATCGGGAAGTGAGGTGATGGTAACCAAGTCTATGACAAGAGAAATTCGATCAATTAAACCATGTTTTGAAGATACATTACAGAAAGAAAACTGATAGAGAAATAGTAATTGACAACTTACAGGAAGAGTAGCGTAACTCATAGCTCCATGAATAAGCATGGCGAAGAACAAACAAGCAACAACATTGAATCCGATGTCACGAAATCCTGATAAATAATGGTATTAATCAATTTTGTTCACAAAATCATAAACTGAAGATGAAAATGGTATGTAGAGGAGAGATTGCATGCCCTTGAAAGTTTCCGAGGGGTAGATGATGCCATTATCGTCTTGATCAAAGAAAGCTACATGCTGTTGAAGAACTGACATGTTATGGTGCTTGTGATATCCCCATGACCCATCCACGTTATACCAATCTGGTGCAGCCATAGCTCGAGCCAAATCTGAAGAACAAACAAGCCACGGATTTCATCCCAAATCATTCAAATACGCATTTGATCGCAAAATTGAACTACCGACTCCGATTTGATCTCAAATCAAACTTGGATCTTTCAAATTGCACAAAAAATTGAAGTAATAACATACAAGGTTTAGCGAGTTTAACATCGAGATCAGATCGGACTTTTCTCTTTAAAGTAAGGGGAGCCTTATCGGCGACGGTTAGCATTGAGTCAGCCGACGCCTTCATCGCCTGATTTCCGCCTCCATTGTCTCCCATCTCACTGCTCTCCTCTCGATTAAGATCGGGGGAGTCTGTAAGCTGATCGAATTGCTGAAAATTCTTACAGTTTTAATGTGGTTTTTGCGTTGGAATGGGAGGAGTTGTTCGTGTGATTTTGAAGATTTCACTTGGAGATCATATGCTCCGAATCCTATTTTCATGGTGTCATGGACCTCTGGTTTTACTCGCTTCTTTTTCATTATTTTCATAAAAAACTCTATATTCTGAATTTTTTTCTTTTTATACAAAAAAGACTCAATTTTTATATGTTATTTGTTATTTTAGACCCTAACAGATCACCAATAGGTAAATTAGGTATTTTTGTTTCATAAAAGACTCTATTTTTAGACCTAAAATATTTTTTTTTCAAAATAAACTTTAAAATTGGTTATAATCTTCAAAACCAAATATATAAGGTACTTCTTGACAAAAGAAAGTATACATGTATGCACTAAAAATATTATCTAATCTATTATCTTTTGAACGAATATAACCTAAAAGAATTGCAAAATTTTATTTTTGTCTAAAAGATATAATTAAACTTTATATTAGATATATAGTATATTATTAAACTTGATATATTGTTTATAGAAAATGTTATTATTACCGTTAATAAAAAGTTTGATGTTAATTTGATATTTTTTGGTAACATGGATAATACATGGCTAAGAAGAATCTTTTAGCATAATAACAAATTTTTTTATTTGTAGAAAAAAAATACCATATAATCTAACAAACTGTATACAAAATAATTTTTTTAGTTTGTCTATTATACTTATTTTGTGAGTTTGGACATATTTCCCTCTCTCACTTTTCTATATTATTTTTTTGGCCAAATTTTTTAATCAATTTTTTAGAACAGTAAACAAACGCACTCACTATCATACTCCTAAACCAAAGCCATAAATATTTTGTAGCATTAGCCCATTATTAAATAATATGTTATAATTATATCAAATAAATACATAAAAATATTAATCCTAAACATTCGTATTAGTTTTGTTTAGATATATGAGATTTAAGTTTAAGACTTTCTTAAAAAAATGTTAACATTACATATGAATACATAAAACTATATTTTGGGAATGAAACCATTTGAGCATAAGTTGAAAATCCAAATAACAAGAATGATACCGCACACTTAAATATCAAAATACGATGGTTGACATTATTAACAATGGTTGGAATGTGGTGAATGAGCAAAACTGACAAAACTATGAAATTTTGTTGTACATAAAAGAATAATTGAATAGTTGGCCTACTACCTCATTTTAATAATCTATCTTATGTATAGATGATGTTTAGATCAATACATGGTGTTTGTATATTACTGTTATTAATTCTTAAGGATAATCATAATAATTGCCAAAATAAAATTTAGGATTTCATTTTAATTTGAAAGGATATAATCACGTTTTTATGCATGAACGAAGTTAATGTGACAACCCGAAATTTTCATTTGTATAAACTTCGCAGTCAAGCACGTCAAATAATGGTCAAATTCATCTCAATACATTTTTGGCCGGTTTTAAGTCCGTTTGAGTATTTTATTTTAATTTTTCGTCAAACGAACAAATAAATGGAAGTATATTTTAGAGGTTGTCGTGCATCACGTAAATCTCAAAACTCCAAGAGTTTGGAGTTTACGGCCCCAAACCTGGAGTTTACGGCCGTAAACTCTAAAGAGTATAAATATGACACTTAGTCATTTTTGACTCATTTTTCAC